TTTTGTGACAGGTTCTTTACATGTATTTCCATCAAATCGAATTCATCTAAGATAACCACCAACAAAATTTTCTTACCATCATGTAATCATGTACCACTCGTCTGCAGCCTGTTACCTGGATTAGCCCTTTCTCCAAGAATTGCCCTAATAGTTATAGTATCGTAGCTATAATTCTGTGACAGAGCTCGGCAAATTTTGCAATATATCATTTAACACTGAAGAATATTGAGTTATTAGTGATATTGTTTCTAATAGGAACTCAGGTCCGATGTCGTGGGGGGCATTGTTAAGCAAAGAGTCTACAGGCCGAGGTCAGGGTAGAGAACCCGACGAAAACGATTTTGGCGATCGGGAGCAAGACCCTAATCTATTATATCTGTCCATGGGGGAACGAAGAAACGTGAACGGTGGGTATCCCATAGGACGTTCTCTGAGGACGTACCGAAATATGGCTAAACGGTACCCCGTTGCGAAGAGAAGCCCAAAACCAACATCAACCAAGAAACAAATTACCGATCCTAAGGTAAATCGTTGGAGAAATTTTCCAGAAACATTTTTCGAGAGGGCAATTTATTACCCAGGCATTATCTGTCTAATCAAATGTTCATTTCGACACTTCAATATTTCAACAGGTCGCGCAAGATCTGGGAGCGCTGTTTGGCAGTCAAGCCACGGATAATCAAAATCACACTCACACCTACAAGCACGATCATGATCACAGCCATGACCAGCATGATCCGCATAAACACGAGAGTACCTCAGAAACGCCGAAAGTGACTCCACCTCTGAAAGGGCAAACGGAGAACATAACGAAATCAAACAAATCAAAATCCATCGAAGTGAGGAAGAAGAGCGTCGATTGGTCCCAGTACTTCGGCATTGACAGGAGAAAGAAGAAAGCTACGTTCACGGCTGGCCAAGGGACACCTAACCAGGACGACGAATGGATGTTACAGCGATACTACGAAGTAATTTAAAGCAAAGAGGCAGAAAACAGTCTCCTTTCTCTCATAATCCCTTTTTCAATTGCAAGCTCAGTCTGTAACGGTCAATTATGGGTATTTCTTAGAACATGGTGGAGAATCTGAAGGCAAATGACCGCGAGTACGAGAAGGAAGCGAATGAAAGGAAAGACAGACTGAACCAGCTAGATCCGAAGCAGAAAACCATTAAGGACCTGATTATTGATGAAGCTTTGAAATACGGGGACTCGAAAGATGGTATAGACATGCAGAAGGTGTGACTTGTTTAAAGAGATCAATTAGTTCACAAGATCGTAATCGGTATCATATGTCTGACAATAATGTTTGAATGAAATGTTAGGTAAAAGATAAGGTAATGGCACGAATGGCTGCTGCGTATTCCTTCGAAAAGATGAGGAAAGCCCTGAGTGAACTTAGGAACTGGATGGAAGCTCAAAAGGCTCGTCAAAGTCAAAATCAGACTTCGAACTTTCGAGAAAATGTTCAAACTTTCGAGAACTTTCCTCGAACTTTCCTCGAACTTTCGAAAAAATCCAAGGAGAAACTCGTCAACAACTTGATCGAGAGTGAAGGTACAACCGATCATTATGCACTGTATTATGCGTATTGCGTGCTGTATTAACGATTACGTAACATTTCACGAGAAGCTGTGGAAGAAAATAGAGCCTGTCCAGAACTAGAATTGATCGAAAGACGATGCAGAACAGTGGACGCTTTGGGTGGAGACGAATCGGAGATGCTCTACCTTCCTTGTGTTATGCTTCAAATCTGCAAAGCCTGCGTAAATATCCCCCCTTTAATTTTGAATTTCAGTTTGAACACCTTTACTTAGAACTATGGTTGGTCAATAGGCTTAGAATTCAAAGAACACTCACTCGAGCCCTCGAATACAAACGTCACTATTTCTATCTTCATTTATTTGCTGTTTGAGAATTTCTGTCTATTCAGCGCGCGGAAAAGAAATCAACTGCGAGAAGACACAGAATAAGAATATCAATTTCAGGTACAGAACGACCTGGAGGAGGAATGTTTAGGTAATTACGCGGTCGAAGCGGGAAAGATCTGCGATGCTCAAGAAATCAGAGAGGGACCGAAAAGCAGAGAGGCGTGCGCCAGCACGGCTTTGATATTATCGCAGTTGCAAACGCCGGCGTCGATTTCCGATCAGTGCCGTGTCGATGGGAATGATTCTTGCTTGCGGCGTTACCATTATCGTTACTGGCGCCGTTATCTCAACTACCCTTACAACGGACGACAATTAGACAGCTACGATACGGCCGATCCTCAACAATCGGACCGTTAAAAGGCCGGTAAAACAGTGAAGATCAAGTGTGACGACGCGACGTCCACGACACCACATCGAGGATCCTCTGTCGAGAAACGTGTGTGACTATCCAGCAAATCGGTGACCTCAGATCAAGCTTTATTTCCATAGTCAACTTCCAGTATTTCAGTATTTATTTCGTCTGCAAGAAACCGAAAGGGAGAAGGGAGAAACGTCGAGATCTTGGGGGTATGTACGTCGTCCAAGAATGCTGAGGAAGAGTCTCACCTTTTATCGAGCGAGTAGTTTCACTTATGACGAAGGGATCGAAGGTTCTGAAATAACTTTCAAAGTTGGTGATTCGAGAACACGGCAATGAAGATGGTTCAAATTCAATGGTGGCTCCGAATTTTTACTCGTATAATTATTTACAAGCTGATAATTTTCCGTATACGGATATCATTTGGTATGAACTGAAACGAAAGACGAAACGACTGAATTTCAAGCGAGGCGAACGTTCTACTTTTATGACATGTTTTTCTTTAAATGATATGAAATAATGAAATGAAACGACAAGCGATGCGGGACAATAATCGAATGAAATTTTTCTCGTTATTTTCCTTGTGAGAACGTAAGAAATTTTTAAAGTCTCAAGTAACGTCGAGTAACGATTGCAATAATTATTTTATTAACTTTTCAATCGCAAGGTCACTGTAACTATTGGACAAACAAAAATTTGAATAAACGCCTCGCAAGAAAATTGTATTCCTGTTCGACAGGAAAATACATTACAATACAGTCGTGTCGAGTAGGATAACGTGTGATTGCATTCAATTTTTTTTTTCTTTTTTTTTTACAATGGATGATGACTTTCAGCAATATTCTCGCAGTACGGAGTACATAAGGTTCATTCTCGTTACTTTGTTCCGATGTTTGAGTTTACTCGAACTTTACATGCTTCCACGCAAATGCTTCCACAAAAGCGGTGCTGCGTCAAAGTATCTTGTTTATCTGTGCATTTCCCCCTGTCAAGATGGAACGTAATGTATCGAAGTATATCGATATTAGGAAATAAATTTGAAAAGAGACACTAAATTTGTCATAGTGTAAATTTATATTTCATCAAACAAAAGGATATGTGTATCTATATTGTCTGTCTTTGCGTTATTGAAGCCATGAATACATTCTATGTGTCCTATATTCGAATGTAATAAATATATTTCAAAATAAATGTATCCGGTATCGTCCGGTATTATTGAAAACTGCGTTTGTATATACGGGCGTGTGAGTTATAAAGAATTATCAGGCTCGGTGCTGGAATCGACATTTGTGTCGGCTGTTTCCTTCAGCGACTCGAGAATTTCGACACATTCCGGAGTGTACAGTTTCAAAAACTCTAACTCCATCTGAGCACACTCGACTGAAAAATGGAAAAAAAGACGTTGAAAGGATTTAGCACAGGGATATGTTCAATATACCTCTCCATTTTGAAATTACTTCCAACTTCTTCTTCAACTCCAAATTTATCCTGTTTATTTCGTGAATAATGTTTACATTGTTGTCCGACATTATATTTCTAAAATAACTTTTAATTAATGTTTCTTTTCCTCTAAAAGAACAAAAAAAACAAGAAAAACAGAAAATTACGAATTGATTACTATTCTAACTGTTCCGGCAGCGTTAATTGAAATCGAAGTTGATCACGTGATACCCATGGCGAGCTCTGATTGGCTGCCGAAAAATTCAACCACGAATACAACGTCGTGCTGTAGACTACGTAGTCTACGGCTCGTAGTACGCGTAGCGTCATTTGTAAGAAACACGATTGGTCGGCTCACAAATGTGCTTTGTTACTCAGCTGCGAAACCTTGCAAATCTACAATTATATAATCTATGTCCACCAAAAGTGGCGATGGCGTTTGGTCTGTGTTGCTCTGCGACCGAAAAGTGGTGTTTCCGTGGCATTTTCTATGGGAAACAAGATCGTTAGTATCGCTTTTGAGATTCGTAACGAGTGGAAACGCGCGAGCACGACAGCTACGTGGCACGAGGTTAGAAAGAGGAAGTGTGAAAACGCAGGACGGTTAAGTACATGAGCTCCCGCTTTCTACGGCCGGCGAACGTATTTATCTTCGGCAGCAAATGTAATATTTTGACAAGGAGGCACGAGTAACTCAATCTGGAGGACACGTCTCGCTACGCGTGATCAATTGTGGTGAGTCCCGTTCCCCTCAACTCGTGATTTTCGCGAGATTTTCCGGATCACATGACGTTCCCGCCGTAACCTTCCATTCCTGTTGTAAACACCGTATTGATATATAGGGTGTCCTTGAATTTCGCTCCGACTGCTTTGTGTTTGGTTTGTCTCGATTCTTCGTGAATTTGAATTCGTTCACGTCGGGAAATGGTAACTTCGAAGGATAACTGTTGAATTTAAATCGAGGAGTTTATTTATTAATACGTTTTTTCAATTCCAGTATGCTGATAAAAAGAAGATAGAGAGATGTCAGAAACGGAGAAGAAGGAGAGTGGCACGATGGAGGACCAGAACACGTCCTCCGGAAACTTAGAGAAACGCGTTGTCTCTATGTCGAACAGTTTAAATGAAAGTCAAGACTTTCATTTAATAGATACAAGCGACGACGAGTCGCAGCAAAATTTGGAGAGTGAAAGGAACAAAGAAGTGTCGCATTCTGTGTCTGGTGACAACGTGGATATCAGTTTGAATGAAATGAGAATAACAGTCGAGCAGACAACGATGCCCGAGGTACTGGATGACGATGATGTAAAGGTGGAAGATACGCAAGACATTGAGCTTTCGAAAAGAAAAGAGGATGAGGAAGAACAAAAAACTGTGAATGAAAGTAACATCCTGCAGAACAAAGAGAAGTATGAGGACGAGGAAATCATACAGTGCACACCACCTGCAACTTCTTCACCATGCAAGAAGCAAATCGCTGCGAATGTAGTGACCAGTCTGAAACGCAAGGGAGAATCGTTTGATGAGCCACCTGTGAAAATTTTAAAGACGGCATCCAAGGAGGATATATCAACATCTGAGAAGAGAGTGCAGGAAGAAGAAGAAAGTTGCCACTCGTTTAAGTCTGACGATTCTCATCATGAATTTCCGAAAAGTTACTCGAATGCGAGTGTTATAATTGCAGAGACCCAGGATGACGCGAAAGACATGGGAGAATTACCGACAACGTATAAAGAGAGAGCTAGAGATGAGAAGAACGCCGAGTTAGAAATGAAAGATTATGAAATAGACAAGAACAAAAATTTTAATGACACATCGAAATTATATCAAGCTATTACGAAGAGAGACTTCAATGATGATATATCAGAGTTGAAGGATACGTCAGAGTCCAGCGAGAATAAGACACCGCAAGTTCAAACAGTAGAAAAAGAATGTACATCTTCCTTAAAAGCTGTTGCAGTCGAGAAACTGAAGTCTGATCTGGGTAATAAAAACACGGACGGCATTGAAGCGAAAGACAATAAAGTAGTATACAGCAAGAAAACAGAGGACAAAGAAAATGGCATTGATCCCGCAAGAAATACTACTTTGCAACAAAATCGTAGCAATATTCAAGAAACACCGTTTTCTAAAGAATCGAGCGACTCTCACTCCAACGTGTGTACCAGCAACATATCTAAATCAAGAAAGAGTGTAGAACTTCTGTACGATCAAAAAAGTACTATTCACGAAGTCAAGCCAAAATCTACAGAATTAGTAGAAATTGACGAAGATGGTGAAAAGATAGTGTTAGATTCATCTCAAGAAGAGTCAGAAGGCAAAAAGGAAACCAAGAGTGGCCCGGATAACACCAAATCTGACACAATATATAAAAGTTGCTTCGAAACTAAAAGTAGCAGTGAATTTAGTTATAAATCAATAGAGAATACCAAAGAATCATCTGTTGATATGGTTAAATCCAGCAATAAATTGGTAAATGGGAATAGTGAATTAAAGAAATGCGACACCGACAGCACTAATAGTATACAGTCAGACACGTTTAACGATATGCCAGTTCTGGACAAAGCAGAGAGCACAACTATACATAACACGAACAAACAAATGAAATCAATCTCTGCGTCTAAAGACAACGATCACGCCGATTTGTTAAGTGTAAGTGACAACGAACCTGATGTTTTTATTGTAGATGACAAAAGTAAATCAAACTCGACTCACAGTAGTTCTATCACGAAAGCCTTACAAATGGAGAAAGAAATCGGTATATATGTCAGAATGAAATGTTTGCTGCACATTGATGAGGGTACAAAGGAGTATCTGAGCAAAGAGATTACAAATGTGCAATGTGAAGCTGTCGCTGCAGAGCCCACTCTAAGACAGAAAAATGACACATCTGCTTCCTTGGCAGATATTTCTGGTAATGACAATAAGGAAACGTCCCCTGGCTCAGTAAATAGTAATCCGCAATTGTATCAATTGAATCCTTCCAGACTTTCATTTGCCTCAACCATCAGCTCTTTGAGTTCCGTGTCCAGTGCCGCTTCATTGGCAGCCAAGCTTGCAATAAGAGACAATACACACTTCTCTTTGCCGAGAGCACCGGCGAAACATGCAAAGAGACTGGCGCAAGACATTCACTCGCTGAACGAGAAACAAGCAATCGACGAGGCGTATGAACGTTTGAACAAAGAGTGGCAGAACAGTCATCTTCTTACAACGACTATATTAAATTTTGCAAACGTAGAACTCGCTGGTATTGAATCGCACAACATCAGCAACGAGAGGATAGACGACCAGCTGCAGAAGATCCGGTGTTCCACGCCGGAAGTACCGCAAGAGGTGGTCCAGGTGCAGACCCCTAAAAGCACGAAGAAGGGCAAAGCGGTGAAGAGGCCGAAGAACAAAACGACCAAGTTGGATGACCAGTCGAACGGAGTGAACAAAGTCCCGAAGACGTCGAGTCTGGCGGAGAACAGTAGCACGCCAAACAAGCAGAAGAATAAAACGGAACATACGGACAACGTACCGAGCACCGTGAACGTTTCGACAAAGCCCCACATGATAGCAGACGAGTTAATCGGCAAGGACGTGTTTGCGAAATGGTCTGACAATAACTATTACCCCGGTACGGTCATTGACAAGATAAAGATGAAGTACAAGGTAAACTTCTACGACGGGAAGAACAAGATACTTATAGAAGATTTTGTTATACCGATACCGAAAGTTTTGAGGGAGGGCCTGTCCGTGTATGCCGCTACCAAGAACTACGACTACGGATCCTGCGGCATAATCGTTCACGCTGAAACGGTAGGTAACGAGGTGTATTACACGGTTGAGACGGACGAAGGAGAGAAACTGCGAGTACAGATCAAAGACCTCTCGTTGTCGGTCGATCAAGCTCGAATACTGAAGGAGGAGATCGATCTGGAGAACAAGAGTCTCCCGTCTACGCCGAAGCACCTGGGCCAAGTAACGTTAGACAACATGGTCGATGGAAAACGGCGTTCCAAACGTATTTCCACGCCCAGTTTCTCTAATCCTAAATCTAAACTAATTCAGACATTCGCAAACAGACTGGAGGTAGAGCCGTCGGTCTCAGGTGTAACCTCAACGATTAAGAAAGAGAGGAAGGTGTTCACCGAAAGCGATGGTGTTTCCAGCGACTCGAACGTCTCTGTGAAGGTTGATCCTGAGTTCTCCATTGGCATACAACCGGAAATAATTGGCACCCCGTACGAGCAGGTCGTGAAGGGGCCGCAGAGTCGAATCAAGAGCAAATCGAGAAGTAAAAAGAAAGTGGACGACGAGGAGACAATTGCGACGTTTGGCCCGATTCCGCATACGGACTCGAATCTCTTTAAAGGCATGTCTTTCCTTCTTACTTGCGTACCGTTGGAGAGCATCGATCGGTTTCAAGACGACAAAGACGACAAATCCTCGGATCCAGGAACGTCGGAGGACGAGGTAGAATGGTCGAAGAAGCCCTTTATAAGGGATAGACTAACCAAACAGATAGTGGCAGGTGGTGGGAAAGTCTATGCAGACTTCAACGAAATCCCTCAAGACGAGTACAAAAACACGAAACTAATAACGAACGTGCCAAACACAACTGCAAAGGCCCTCTTGTGTCTTTCGGTCGGTATACCTGTTTACAACCACAACTGGATAATCAGATGCTGTCAGGAGGTATGTATTGTAATTCTGTTACATAGTATTCGTGTACAACATGGCAGTGATTTACAATTTCTTGTATCTTGCAGGGCAAGCTGGTAAATCCAGCTGAAAATGGATTACCAGCCGGATGGAGTTTGGAAAAGAATGCGTATATTGAAATGTTCCAAAGACCCAGCAACAAACCACTCACTCAGGTTGTTGTAATAATTCCAGTTGTAGAGTCTGAAAAACAATTTGCTGCGTTTTGGCGTCAAGTCTGTGAAAACGCAGGTGCTGTTGTCATATTAGCAGATAAACCAGGTATGACAGTTATTCGTGATAATGAAAATGATATTTATTTTCTAATTGAAGGTATAAAAATAAGCGTCAACGTTAAATAAAAATCGATTTTCAGATGCAGTGGAAAGTTTCGAACAGGGAACTGTAGTTCTTACAAACAATTTATGCCCGTCGTGGGCAGTGGAGGAAGCTGATAAATTACAAATTCCATTGCTTTTCACGACATGGATCGTCCAGTGTTTAATAGAGGGGAAATTATGTCCGTATGATGGAAAAAATCGTTATAAATATAATTACAAAAAGAATTAGCTATAACGACCGAAAAATTGAACATATAATTTATGAAAACAGATGAAATCCTGTTTTCATAAATTATAAAATCTTCTATTTTCATTATATCATTTTAGATATATCCAATAGAGCGAGAATATTATTTCCATATTTATCAGACACTTCAAAGCACATCTGTTTTCTTTCACACGTATCCATTACAAAGTACTTTAAAATCGTTGTTTCAATAGTTTTCCAATGATGTTACAAAATCTATTTTTGATAAGTGTCTGATAAAAAAAGAAATTATATTACAGTAGCTAAATATGATTCTATTAATAAAGTATATGTAAAATTACTTTATGGTTGATAATGTCGAAGAATGTTTTATATAATATTGCGTATTGTATGGACATCCGATGTAAAGATTTCTCTTTTTTGTGATTTTTTTTATTATACAGAACGTATATGTTTACTATGCACCACATTACTTACAAAAAAAAAAAAAAAAAAAAAAAATGTAGAGTTAGAATTTTGTAACATTTTGTATAAATCAAATTCTAAATCAAAAATGATTTTTGTAAAAAAAAGCAAACAAAAAACAAATTTTAAGAAGTTTCGTAATTTATAGTCGCAATTTCCGCGATCCGGTTACTTCACTAACACTAAGTTTTTTAACACAAATAATTTGTCGTATTATTTTAAAATATTACCTTGCAGAAAGTTAAAACTATACGCGAATAGTATAATATAATTAGAAATCGAATAATAATTCATATTTACATTAATGTTGTAAATAACTTGATATTTTTTTTTCATATTTAGCATATTCATATATCAAATAACGCATTTAATTACACACGAATTATTATATTTCAAGAGCAATATTCTCCTCGCATTTATATAAACAATTATCTGGTTTTTTTTTTCAAAAAAAGAAACAAACTTTGCACCATCAGGAAATAGACAATTTGCTATGAGAACTATTTTTTCATTAAGATGTGATTCTAACTTGAATTCGTTAGTTGTAATTCGGTGACTTCGCAAATATTAGAGTAACTGTAAATCAAAGTCAACAGTGGGTGATGTGTCCTGTAAATATTTTTTTACGTAAAATTATAGTGCAGAACATAAGATCTATTTACATTAAAATTTTTATGTACTGATATATATCCCAGAGGAATTTATAGAACTCTTATTACTTATTCATAATGGGTATATGTTCAGTAAGAAAACAAATATCAAGCGAGTTGCCTCTAAACACTTCAAGTTAAGATAGCATTAATGTTCTTTAAATGATGAAAGGTACAAGAGGATTTATCCTGTGAAGTGTTTTCTAACACTTTCATTAATTTACAGAATGACTTTTGCGTTGAACCAAATATCAATAAGAAAAGAAATGAAAGAAATTGTATGTGGTGGTTGCACATATGCGAATGTGTATATATAAGTAAATATATACATATACTACAAATTTTACTGTAAGATGTAGCTATTATGTAAAATGTTTGGGGATAAAATACAGTGACATATTTTGGCAACTGTTTTGCTCATTTCCAAACTAACGGTAGTAAGATATATATTTCACGCAATATATAATATTTCACATATAGTACAACAACCTTCAGGAGTATGTACAAAAGACTTTAATAAGAGATAATATACGTACTCATTTATTTCAAGGGTTGTACCAATCAAGAAATAATAGAGAAAATGACATAACTAGAAGAAAAAAAAGGATCCACACTCGAAGTCCGGCGTTCCTTTGGATCGCTTGCCTAATCTGTTCATTTGCTTCCTTCACATTTTCCGTTGATCCAACGACGGTCGTCATTAAACGGTCTAAGTCCTTATCCTGATCTAATACCTTTTCCGTGAATATTTCTTGAAGTTCAGCTATATGCACAACTTTGCTTTCTATTTGTTTCACTTCTTCCGTCAATGTGTTAAGTTCATTATACAGTTGCTCATTTTCTGCCTCAAAAACCTGTACATCTTCAGGCGATATCTCTTCCTCGTACATCAGCGCATTCACATCGCCGTTTATTTCCTGTATTTTCATTGGACTGGATTCACCGGAGTCAATTTTACCTTCTTTGTCTTCATTGTCCTCATTTGCGTTCAAGTTAAGTTTCTTTACTTCGGATAATGGTTTAACAGGCTTCGTGTCTAATTCCAATTTGGCAATCTTTCTTATCTCTATCGCTCTTTTCACTCGTATCGCTTTCTGTTCTGAATAGATCTTGCATACATTTTTCAGGTAATCCTCGATCAACAACAACATGATTTCCCTGTGCTCTAAGTTTTGTGGAGAAACTTCAGAATCTGCTATCTCTCTTCTTAGTTCTTTGATCAATTGAGAGCAAGTACTCATTATTTTTTGCGCGCCGATGTCGATTTTGTCGCGATCCACATCTGTCATGCTTGGCACATTTGACAAATAGTTGGAGAAGTTTAGGTACGCTTTACGGTTCTCCAACAAAAACTCACGTAGCTTTGAGATCTGTGCAACAACACCTTGGGCTTGTATGAAAAAGGCACTTTTACTCTTTGTCCTCTTTTGGTTCCACGTACCATCAGTAATTCCCAGAGCTTTGTTACGAAGACTAACTGTCTTCACACTTGCTTTAAATAACGTACTGATATCCATCTTTGAGTCGCTGATTTCGTTAATCCGTATATTCAGTAAAAAGAAGATACTTTATCTTGCACTCACAAACAGCAGGTTATGTCGTTCAACACATCAAAAAGTCAAAATTTAAAATAAAATTTTTGTGTTACAAACAAATTGTTGACATACATATATATATATATATATACATATATACATATATGGTACTTTGACATATAAAACCGCTTTTAAAAATTGTTTATTTCACTTTACATCCTCCGGTTGGTAAACTGTCCTTCAAGGGTTAACCTAAAAATAAAAGAAAAAAAGTTTTCAAAAAAACGCTTGAATTATGTCGCTCAAACGTTTAAATTTTCAGAAGGGTACCATTAATGGAATAAATAACTTAACGCGTGCAAATACGTGGTATAATGTACAACAAATCGTAATTATTGTCGAGTCGATGACTAATACGAAACATGTGGCAAACGTCACTTTTGGAAAAATAATTTGCATTTCGTTTTAAAATGCAACCAATTTACGTAGATCGCAATTAATGCACGAAATGTATTTACATACATTTTACTTTACAAATTTTTTTTTTACGACGTTTAACGGCGCACATTCTATGGAATACGTTGAAGCGTATCACGCGATAAACAAGGATACAATGTTCGACCTCTGACGCGCAAAACTCTATTTGGAACGCACGTTCGAGAATTAAACTCGTCCAACAGTTTGGAGAAAGGATCAACCTTAAAACTTCGAAGAAGAAGAAGAAGAAAAAAGAACGAGAAAGAAATGATCAAATTGAAAAAAATACGTAAAGTCGCGAATCGTTCCGGCGAGGTGAGACGGTCGGTATTGCAGTGCGCGGTTTTTGAAAACCGGAACACGTAGACCGAGTGAAACACTATTATCGAAATGACAAGATGGCACGTCAGCAGCAGGCGGACGTCGACGAACTGTTCGACGTGAAAAATCACTTCTACATCGGCAACTACCAGCAATGTATCAACGAGGCGCAGAAAATCAAGGTTTGTTCATTTGATATTCTATTTCCTCGAGCATTATTCTCGCCTCGTCTCTTCGTCGAGACCATTTCCCTCCCTTCCTCCCTCCCCTCTGATATCGTTAACCTGAATTATTTTCTGCTCTGTTCGTTGACTTCATTTTTATGTCATTTAACGTGAAACGCTGATATCGTTTCCTTTTCATTTTTTACAGTCCTCGCCGGAGGTAATGATGGAGCGAGACGTGTTCCTGTATCGCGCGTACATAGCGCAACGAAAGTTCCGCGTCGTACTGGACGAGATCAACAATTCTTCCCCCCCTGACCTGCAGCCGTTGAAGATGCTGGCGGACTATTTCGCAAATCCAGCACGCCGGGAGACGATCGTCGCCGAGTTACAACAGGCGGCGAGCCGGGCTAACTATGACAACCACAATTTCCTGATCGTCGCTGCGACCATCTACTATCACGAGAAGAACTTGGAGGCAGCGCTCAGGATACTTCGCAACGTGGATCACTTGGAGTGTCTGGCATTGACGCTGCAGATTTACTTGAAGATGGACCGGCTGGACCTGGCGAAGAAGGAGTTGCTCACCATGCAGGAGAAAGATGACGATGCCACGTTGACGCAGCTGGCACAAGCATGGCTGAACATAAGTAGCGGAGGAGACAAACTGCAAGATGCTTACTACATATTTCAAGTAAGATTGTATCGTTTGAAATGTTTCAACTCCATAAAGCAGTCTGTGGATATACTTTGATTACAGGACATGATAGACAAACATTCCAGCACGAGCATGCTGTTGAACGGACAGGCCACTTGTTTCATCGGGCAAGCCAAGTACGAAGAGGCCGAAACAGCGTTGCAAGAATCCCTGGACAAAGATAGTAATAACCCAGATACGTTGATCAACATGATTGTACTTTCTCAGCACATGGGAAAGCCACCTGAGGTTGCTAACCGTTATTTGAGCCAGCTGAAGGATTCACATTTGGAACATCCGTTTGTTAAAGAGTATTTGCAGAAAGAGATAGAATTCCAGAGGCTCAGAAAGCAATATTCATCATCAGCCTAAATCATTACCGGATTGTAGCATTCTGCGAACTAAAATTCAGTCAGGAGTATTGAAGATGATGTAACGATACAAATTCTAGATGCAATGAGATTAGAGTGCTGCCGCAGGGTATAAACGTACTTCTACGTGAACTTCGAGTTCTTGTTCTTCTGTAGGGAAAGCATTTTGTTTTTTTCTTTTTCGTGAAACTTTCAGTTCAGTGATTTTATACAAAGCATTTCACCTTTTGCATGGAACTTTTTACGATAATTGGCGAATAAAAGTGATAGAGAAGTAAAACTATTTACAATTTTTACATATATATAATTAAAAAGATATATATATATATATA